GTGCACTGGAAAAGAGGTATGGCTAACGAAAAGGAAGAAAAGCTTTCGAGGATCAAAGAGTGGAGGAGGAAAAAGCAGGAAAAGAATAGGCTAAAGAATCTAAATTATAATGAAAAGAATTGCAATAAGAGAATTGAATTTGCAAGAGAAAAATGGCGATGTGATCTTCAAGTTGTAAAAAGAGACAGAAAGTCAGTTTTTAGAGTGCCAGTTGATCTCAATGAGGAGATACTAGCCTCCATGTAGTACAAAATGGTATTATTTTTACTTTTTACTGTGTCAGTGAACTCGAAATTGATTATTTGTGAAAAAGACCACACCCACAAAGGATTATTGGTAAATACAAATTTGAATCAAATGCGACAAAAATGAAATAGTTTGAAATAAATCAGTTGTAATAGTAAATGTGAGTTTAAAACAGACCTAAAGAAGTGATTTTGTCCCAAACTAGCAACTTTCACATTTTCCATACATGTTACAGAAGTTGTTATGGTGATTGTGCCACTCATCACAGTTAAGTTTGAATCCTATAATGGTGAGATAACTCCACCTGTAGTTCTAATTAACTCTCAGTGGCTTCACTTCAAACAGCTTTGCTTTGCCCAATTTTTGTTAAAATTTCTTGTTCATTCTACATCAAATGCAAGGGAGCATAACTTGTTACTTTATCACTTCTATCAGTCTCTTACCTCTGTATGGTGTTTATTTTATTTTAATTTACTGCTTTAATGATTTTTATTATATGTGTGGACTTGAAAGTTTGTCAGAGTATAGTAAAGATCAGTATTATTTCCAGTGCCTAGAAGCTTCTTGTTACTAATCTGAGCTACTTTGAAATGCTCTCTTGCTTCTTTTTGTATTTCAGTGTTAACCCTTTAATCCCTAAGAGTGACCAGCATCTAATTTCTCCTTTCAGTATCATCCCTGAATCCAACATTAAGGTCATGAGAATAAAGGAAGTGATAATAAATTGAAAAACCTCTTGATTGTTAAACAAATTCCCCTTGCTAGGACATCAGGGATTGTAAAGAGAACAGTATGGAGAATATGCATACTGATGTTAGGGTGTAAAGGGTTAAATCAGGGTCTAGAATTAACTTTTTTATATGGGCACCAAGTGTCAATTAAACAATTGAATTCAGTCACCATTTGAAGCAAATTATTTGGTTGATACAATGTAAGACTCAATGCTTCCTAAAAAATGTTCTCTTCAATTGCAAGAGAAAAAGTTTCAAAGACCTTGACACCTAACTGAAAACCAGTGTTAGAAGTTGAAGCAATACATTATGGATTCATTTCTGCATTTCTGAGTGCTGGTTTACATGAAGAATACTGAGAAAACCTTAAATAGATACCTGCTAGCATTACTAAAATTAACATTCTAGTGCTAAACAGTCAGTTTCAGTAGCATTGACAGTGTACAATTCAGTTTATCGTATAAATAATGATAATTGATCCATATGTGTTTTACTTCCTTGCAGCTGAGTTCCAGAATATTCTGAATTGGGGTTAAGTTCCATTCCAACAGCTGCAGGTGTTCTGATTCTTGACTGACTGAACAGCCAGAACTTACAGTGATTTTGGCACAGAACAGCTATTTTTCCAGCAGCTGGTTGAATTTTTTTTCTGTCCACCAGATTAATCACTTCCCAGTAGCTTGTTGTGAATGCAACCTGCCACACAATCTACTGGGTCAGTGGTTTATCTGGTGGATGGTATTGTTGATTCAATCCAGCAACAGCAAGTACCTGAGAGTTTAATTCAACTACTGCTACCATCTCACAGGACAAACAACTTGAAAAGTGAGTGTTTATCTTGTATGTATAATTGACATCTAGATATAAATTTATGTATAAAAAAATAAAGATAAAAATAATAATAATAATAATAATAATAATAATAATAATAATGACTGATGATAATAAATAGACCTTCTTCTGGCAATAGAGCTTCAGTAGTCTGCAACAGAGTGCATCAACTGATAACCACAACTACTTGATTTGAGCTCCATTACACAGTGCATGTACATGTGTAAGGATACATTGTACACCAGTGTGATGGTTAACATTCTCAACTTTTTGTATGATAACATCATATTCAATTTTATATGTAAACAAGAATTAGCATGACACAGCATAGTAAGGTAAGAATGTTCAGGAATATAAGTACATCACAGACAATTTACAGAGTCAAAACAAAACTAAGCTTACATGTACTTGGATTTTGTTCCACTTATTTTGAGGTGGCCAACAAAAGAGTTGCTAGTAATCAGATAGTTGTGTTCGCACAAAGATTTCTGGAATTGCCACAGGGCAAAGAAGAAATAAGTGATGAGGAACATGAGGATTAATCCCTAGGTCAAAATTTATACCTACTCATCGTTGATGATGAAATGGTTCAGATTTAAACTGATTTTCAATGCTAATCATTCTCAACAATCACAACAAATAAGCAATGTAGGTGTTTTATTAACTTTAATATATCATGATCAATAATATTATGCTCAAGTAAACCATTTCAATCTCCTGCTGACTTGATTGAGGTAGCTGTTTTTGTAGCACTCTTTTGTATTACCAAGCCATTAAAAAAAGCTAGAAGTAGCCTTACTACTAGTAAACAGAACTTCATTCTTTTATTTCAGAGCAATTATTTATGGCTGATTTTTCACAATTTTGAACCCATTAAGTGATGTCAATTTCACACTAAAACTTAAACATACATGCATGGAGCAAAGTTTACTGGTGGGTTTTAAGATAGCTCGGATGTTCTCCAGGCTTGATCTGTTTTTAATGCTTTTTATAATCTTCCATAATTAGTAGCTACAATCTGTTTGCATAGTTTTTCTGGCCACTCACAGCTCTCACCTTCCCTTAGCTGAGGGTCCGCCAGGTGTTTGGTATGATCACTGTCTGCTCCTGAGTATATGGGATATATATATATAGCTCATCATCTGATTTGGAGTTGTCAACTTGATTGAAAGTCCTGGCAGATTTCTTTGACACAGTTCCTTGTTAAAAATTTCCCTTGTGATCTTATCTCCTCCATTACTGCATGAGAAGGGATGTGCATATTGTAACAAATAATTCTTTTTGTGACACTTGCTACATTTTTTCCAGAGGCAGGAAATTGATGTGCATCGTTTCATGGGATTTCCACAGTACCTTGGTACCTTTTGCATTGTGTCAGATTTCTTTTTTCCATTCTGGACTGTACTTAAGGGTGTTTCTACAATTCCCTAAGTCTATGTCCTTCAGCTCAATGGTGTATAATTTCCAGCTCTGGTTCTATCAGTTGCCTCATCAAGTGTTAATGCTTTGATTCACTTTCTGACTTCACAGCTCTTTATTCCTGTTACCAATATGCAGAAGATCAGTTCATTGTTTGATGCACATTAAGCAACCAGATGCCAATTTTTGTTGTCTGTTTTTGATGTCAATGTTTCTATCTTCATGGTTGACATTATTAATTAGGCAGTGCTCAAAAATGGAAACTTTTGGATTCTGTGTGATCAGCAACTGGTAAATATTTAGCTTTTTGGTAGGTTTCCTTTCCCACAACATTGTTCTGAGGATCATGTGTTATTAGCTTTTTTTCAAGTTCTCTATTTCAACGAGGTCCAATCCTCCACTAGATTACCTTTCTGACTGATTGGAGCAGGTGTAATGACCAGCTGATTAAAGACTAGCATATGCATAGGCTGTGGGATAGTTCTAAACACACTGTACTGTTTACTTTTCACCTAGATTAAAAATAAATTAGTATCAGGGGCTTATTAAAGACCATCATGTGCTTGGGCTGTGGAAATGGTTGTCTCCTTTGTCACCTGTCAAAAAGGAATCAGTATCAGTAGCTGGTTTAAAGAGACCACAGTGTGCGACACACATGCTGGAATTGTGCTACACACTATTCTGTTTCTTTTGTCACTCATGGTAAATAAATCAGTGTTGGCATGACTAGGCTTAATATAAAGTGAACAGGCAAACATTCCAAGGTACTCTTAGAACTTTACATGTAACACCTTCCTAAGAAATAAAATCATTTTAACTTGAATCAACGAACCAAACACATTAAAAAGTTATCACTTAGTGCTTTGATGAGAACATGTTTCAAAAAGTGTTTAATACATGTTAACTGGCTGCCTTTACAAAAAGGATGTTCAACTTAAAAAAATAAATTTTATGCAACTTCTGTGTAGGGGGCTTGAAACAAGACTTAAGGTGGATGCTCTTTATCATAAGTTTTGATCTGGGCACAGTATAAGCTTAGTTGTACAAACTGGAGATGTGTCCAGTTTTCTTCGATGTTTGCCACCAGATGTAATTATTCATATCTGCCAGGGATTTTACATCTATTTGGTACAATGTCATATACAAACACAAATCTATATTTGTATTTTGGCTTTGGCACCCATTGTGACTGATTTTGTATATTTCAGTTACTATATGACTCATGATTTTAAAATGATTGTCTTTGTAGATTTCTTCAGTGAAGCGGAAAAGGCAAATCGTCAAGGCTGTGTACAAGCCTATCTATTGACCGAAAAAATCTGTCCCAATTAGTTTTTTTTAACATTTGTTAAGAATGCGATACAAGTGTGCACGTGCTTCAAGTACCCCTGCAAGTTTTCATTGCTAGTGAATGTCTCTTTTTTTCCCCCAAGTTGCTAATTGTATGGAAAATATTTTTTTCAAGCTTCTCGCTCTACTGCAGACACGATATATAAATGGTAGGTCACCAAATCCGTTTACGTGGTGATGACAATTTTTCTTCCTGGCAGAAAAAAAAAGGACAAGAAATCTTCCGTTCGCGTATTTGGGCATGCATATTTCGTATCAAATGATGCACAGTAGGGACACATAATGCAATGGCACGAATTGGCCTCGAAACAAATTCCTCAGGAGAAGTTTCATGAGGAAAGGAAATAGCTCCATTGCTACAATAAATCTTTAGGCTCAAAACATCTGGTCTAATGATTTTTTTCTACATTTGTTATCATGCAGGTGGTTCTACTCAACATTTGCCTCGGCCAGAGTTGAAACGCCGTAAGAAAGAGTCATCTCCGAATGACGCCTTAACTCCGAAGAAAGGAAAAACTTTTTTGGCAGATAAAGTGAGGGTATATCTTCCCGCCCCCTGTCTTTGTAAAATAAAAATGTGTGGATCCAGCAAAATGGCATGAATAGTTGCAATACGTACAACTCGCTATCCCCTCATCTTGATGCTTTGCTGTGATGTCTTTATTGTTGTTGTCAAGCAAGGAGTTCTCAGTGACAAAAATTTAGAGTGGCTTTACCCAAGCTGCTTATTGTATGGAAAATATATTTTTAAAGCTTTTCGCTCGATCGCAAAGTAGAGATATAAATGGTATGTCACCAAATCCGTTTACGTGGCGATGACAGTTTTTTTTATTAGCTGCAAAAAATTGAACAAGAAATCCTCTGTTCTCGTATGTGGGTGTGGATTTTTTTGTGTCAAGTGATGCACAGTAGTGTTGCATAATGCAATGGCACGAATTTGCCTCGAAACTAATTAACTAAAATTAATCAGAAGACGTTTTATTAAAAAAGGAAAAAGCTCCATTCCTACAATAAATCTGTGGGCTCAAATAATATTTTCTTGTCTAATAATTTTTTTGCATTTGTTATCATGCAGGTGGTTCTACTAAGTATTTTCCTCGGCCAAAGATGAAACGCTGTCATGAAGAGTCCTCTTCGAGTGACGCCTCAACTCCAAAGGAAAGAGGTAAAATGAGGACATATCTATGGGCGTGCCCGTTAATCCCCACCCCCCAACCCCATCATCCTTCCCCCTGCCTCTATAAAATATAATTGCGTGGATCCAGCAAAGTGGCATGAATAGTTGCGAAATTTTAAGAGCTTTTCGCTAGATTACAAACGAGAGATAAAAATAGCATTCGAAATTGTGGAAGCAAGATTAAAGGCGTTTGACAATGAAAATAGGGAATAGTCTAAAAAAATCTTCAAAAGGTTATTACACTGGAAAGAGAGGAAAGGCTCAGCTGCAACATACTCATAAGACACCTAGAATCTCCCGCCTTACCCCTTCCCTCATTTTAACCAAACCCCCATTTTATAAACCACACACAACCCAATCGGTCCAACGAAGGGCTAACGCTCGAAGTATCAGCTTTTGAAGCTCGTAGTTATTACAATATTTGAGATTTTCCTTGATGTTTGTCTTAATAATAAGAATAAACAAATATATTCAGAACAAATCAGTACATATTTTTTTAAAAATTGTGTGTAGTGTAACAAACAACTGCCTCGATTACCAGCCGCTGTTCGAGAAATGAGCCCGCGCTTCTCCCAATTTTCGAGGGAGGATCGAAGACTGTACACGAGAATTAGGCACAAATCGAACCCCCTCCTCTTCCCCCCCCCCCTCCCCAAACAAAAAACACCGTAGTGACGACACAGTGAAAATGTGAATATTTACCTTCGGAATTAAAGGGTGACGTTGTCAAAGTTACAAATTACAGTTGGCGAGAAATATTCTCCTCACTGTTTAAAAACCCTGCTCCAATAATGTTCTTTTCGATGTAGGAGATAGACAATTTTTAACAAGCTATTTGTTTTTTGTCTACAGATTCATCTGTAACCGAATTTTTGGAATGGTGCCAGAAACAGTTGAGGACGTTTTACACTGACACCATGTGTCAAGTGAAAATAACACCGTCGGACCCAGACAACACGGTACACATTAATGACTTTTACATAGAGCCAACGTGTTTACGAGACCGCAGAAAACCTGACGGGACAACGAAAGAAAAGCTGGGTGACAGCAGTGAAGTATTTGAAGGTGACGAACATCATCCCAATCGTAGACGAATTCTAGTGTATGGAAGACCTGGAATAGGAAAGTCTGCTTTCACTCAAAAAGTAGCTGTGGATTGGGCAAATGGCAAAAAGGAGATCCTCAAAAAGTTCACTCTTTTACTGTTAATCAGGTTGCAAGACGTTTGTGATAGTCCGGACCTCTGTACCATGTTGAAAACTACTGAACTGTTGTCTGCTGATAACCCGATGGCAGTCAATAACTTGTGTGAATATGTCCGTCAGAACCAAGAGAAAGTGCTGCTCATTTTGGATGGATATGATGAGTACAGCAGTGGAAAATCGTCCCTAATTCATCAGATTTGGAGAGGCAGTCAACTGAGAGACTGTTGTGTAATGATCACAACGCGGCGATTGAAGGAGGATGAACTAAGAGTGCAAAGTAATGTTCAGTTTGAACTTAACGGGTTCGATAGCCGGGAACAGAAGGAACAGTTTGCTAGTAAGATTCTTCCTGATGAGGAAGATGTCGAAGGGCTACTTGAATACCTGGAGGAGCATGACCTCAAGGAGATGGCAGAGATTCCGCTATTATTGTTGAAGTTGTGTCTTCTCTGGAAAGAGAAAAAGCATCAATCACCAACATCTCGTGCGGAAATTTACGTAGGATTTATTCAGACTCTCTTGAATCATATGGCTACTAAAGACTCGGACGACGTCGCAACAGATGAAAGCATAGATAAATATCAAGAGGAACTTTCCAAAATAGGAAAACTTGCCTTTGATGCTCTTTTGGAGGACTGCCTTCATTTTGACTTCACCAAATTTCCGCATGGTGATCTCTTCGAGAAGCTTATTCATGTCGGTTTTTTCCAAGTTTCCAAACTTTCTGTTTTGAACCGTGAGAAGATCGTGTATTTTCTTCACAAGTCCGTTCAGGAGTTTCTCGCCGCCTGGTTCATCGTTCAAGAACTGAAGGTTAAGAAGAATGAAACCGTCACCTTCTTGTCGGGAATGGATACGTTTGAAAAATCAAGGAAGATGGCTGAAGTTCTAAGATTCGTTTGTGAGTTGTCATCAGATGCTGTCGGCATTGTTTTTGATCATCTACATTATATCGCAGAGAAAGAAGGTCTCACAAATTACAACTTCACTAGGACGCCTGCAGACGAAGATTTGTCTGGTAAACAATGCGCCTTTATTAAACTCTGTGTCGATTGTTTGTTCTGTTGTCCGGCCTCAAACAGACCAGCTGTGTATTCTGCATTTCTTTCATGTGTTAACCATGTTGTAATACTTGATAAGAAACACTCGTCTATTGCTGCCAAAACGCACTTCTTCAATAACACCGACAGCTCTCCAAACTATTTATTTTACTCACGTTGGAACACTAATTATGATGATCTTCTATCCATATGGTTTGACTTGAACGCGGTCGTTTTAACGTGCTCTGGAGAAATTGAAGATGTAAAAAAATACGCCGATTTACGCCATGCGGACTTTTTCCTCAAAAAAAGCGAAAAGAGAAACCTTATCTATCTTCGTTGCATAACAGATGCTGTATTTCACTCTAAACTGCTTTCTGAATTGATCTCAGCGCCGGTTTGTCCTTCTCAGCCACCTGTGGATAATCTGGGAAAGAATGAAGACAACAACATTGCGCTTTCTTTGACTGAGAACAGATCTGACCAGACACAACAACATTGTGTGTCACTGGTGAGAGAGGTTGATTCATTGGTGAAAACAGTTGAGGATTTTGTTCTGTTGAAGAACTTGTTGCCTTTATTAACAGCTCCTCGAAATATTAACATATGGGGGATCAAGACATATGCCTTGGAAGGTATTTCGATTGAGAGCGCGATTTACGGAATTAATTTTACTGACAATCTCCACAAATTAAAACTTCACAATTTCAATCTAACAGGAAAGTGTGCTGCTTTTATTGCTGAGTCACTGCACCACTCTCCAAACTTGCATGAGCTCTGCTTGTCAAGGAACCCCTTACACAGCGGTGTGAGTCATTTGGCTGAGAATCTTCATCACGTGCCACAGTTGACTGAGTTAGAGTTAGTTGAAGTACAAATGGGAGAAAAGGAATGTGCTGCACTGGCTTCCTCACTACAGTACTTAAACAAGTTAGAAAGACTGATTATATCAGAAAATGCATTGGGTCACGGGATTATTGAACTGGCCAAGAACCTGAACAGTGTACCCAATCTGACTTGGCTGAACCTATCGGATACAAATATAGGTGAAGATGAAGCATCAGCACTGGCTTGTGCACTAAAGGATGTACCAGAGCTGAGCATTCTTAGTCTAGGGTCCAATCCACTTGGCAGAGGAGTCATGGACCTGGTCCAGCATCTCTGCAGTGTTCCTAAGCCGAAGGAGGACCTATCCCCGTGCCTGGATGGTGTTCAAATGACAAAGTTGACTGAATTAGAGTTACAGGATGTAAAAATGGGAGAAAAGGAATGTGCTGCACTGGCTGCCTCATTACAGTACTTAAAGAAGTTAGAAGAACTGGATATGTCAAACAATGTACTGGGTCACGGGATTATTGAACTGGCCAAGAACCTGAACAGTGTACCTACTCTGACCAAACTGGACCTGAAGAACACAAATATGGGTGAAGATGAAGCATCAGCACTGGCTCGTGTACTGAAGGATGCACCAGAGCTGAGATATCTTAGTTTAGGGTCCAATCCACTTGGCAGAGGAGTCAGGGACCTGGTCCAGCACCTCAGCAGCGTTCCTAAACTGAAGTTCCTGGATCTGGATGGTGTTCCGATGACAAAGACAGAGCTTAAAATGCTGTTTTCAGCCTTAAATGGAAGAGAAATTACATTGTATACCGATTACCATGTAAGTGTCTCGTTCTTGTTTCACTTAGTCGTATCTAATTTTTATTTTGGTTCTCTTCAGATTACACTTGTTATTGTTTCCAGCAAGTTGCTTTGGAGACAATTTATTGGAGTAGTCTGCATGGGAAAGAATGTAGACATCAGGAACAGTCACTGTTTTCGACATTTACTATTTCTATGTTGTGACAACAGGAGCCATTGTTGGGGATGGCGGAGACCGTAAACAGCCCATGTTAAGTACTTTAATGGTTCATGTATTGCTTCTTTGACTATGGTTTCCAGAAAAATATGTTTAAGATTAAATTAAGACAGAAACAAATTTAGCTTTGAAAACTTTGATATTATTTACAGACAGTAGTTTCCAGTATAGTTGATGCTTGATTACTGAAACTTCATTGAAAACTTTGGGAGTTCGATTCCTTCGAGTTCATTCGATTGGCCCTTCGGTTTTGGCGAAATCTTGTAGAGAAATCTTTTGTAGCTATGCCTTACATAAGAGAGAGAAAAAAAGATGAATTGTGAGAATTTTTCTCGGACCAAACTTCTTTGCGCAATGTTAATTTTTGAAATTTTTTGGCTTGTGTTGTTATTATGGGATGCTTTTGGGTTTGATTATGTGACGTGAAATTACTGTTAACCTATACATGCTTTGGATTCGATGACGTTGTTCCCTACGATCTGTACCAGTATCTATTCGCTTTTATTAACAGGAAGCGTTTACCCAACAAAATAGAAAGAACCAAACAAAAAAGGTTTTTTCTTGTGTTAAATCCAAATGCGTGTTTTGAAAAGCGAAAATCATGTTGATTCTATTGTCATAAATTTACGTTTTAAAGGTTTGTACTGATGATAGGAAATAATTCACCAAAAGTTGTAGGTAAAATGATTAACATCCAAAAAGAAACTGACACGGTGCTATAATTTACTTGCACTTAAATGGTTTCATTCTTCTTATTTATCAGTTGGATTCTTTTTGTCTTTAGCTGCACTGCCCATGTTGAGTAACTCCGTCAGATGCTCGTAGGGCGCTCGGTCGCCTTTGTCATAGAAGCCTATTTTTTTTTCTTTTATGAAAAATTAAAGAAAAACATTGTAGATAGCGAATTTGTTAAAATGGCTATTTCAAACCTTACACTCTAAAACCTTTTTGGTGTGTTAAACGAAAATATAACATAGAATAAAGAGCAAAGTACTCCGGGGTTGGTAATAAGGCAAAAAGAGATAATAGCGAAAAGGAATTGGAAAAGAAGACAGGCGGGCACAAAATTAAATGGATAAATATATATATAGAGATATATTTTTTTTTTGGAGGGGGAGGGGGGTTGGGGAAATGAGGAAAAAAACCAAGAAAGTGTTTCACATGGGTCACCTCTGATAAGCGCTTCGGCTCGATGTTCCCATTCTGTATCCAAAATAAGACCAATATTACCACGTCATAAACAAAATAAAGCGCCTGCACTAGTCGTGAGAAGAAGCCTTTTGGAGGCGAAGTTTCCATTAACATCTCATTCAGCTGAAAGATCTGGGAAAGACGTTATGTTATGGAACCTGTGAAATTAGCGCTTGAAGAATGAAGCATTACTGTGCGTCAGACGTAAGCGCCCTGCTAGAAAACAAACGAAAAATCAAAAGAAATCATTTTAAAAGCTTAAACTTCATAGGCGCGACCCGTGACACGCGGCTACTAGTCAAACTCGGCACTGCGCTATAATTTACTCGCTTTAAAATGGTTTCCTTATTCTTATTTATCAGTTGGATTGTTTTTTAAGTGTCTCGTATATGATTCAAATGGTTTTGTCAGAAAAGTATGGTTACATTGAGAGGAGAGTTCTTTACTTTTGGGAAAGTCAAGGAAAACATTACATCGAGGACTCCGGGTCATCAAAAAGAAATATTTAGGGTTGTCTGTCTTTCAATCGTGTAACAATTATGTTGGTTGAGAGGTGAACTGGAGTAAAACCCGTTGCGTGTAGTCGTGCAAGGTTGGAAAATTGTTAAATCGTTGATTTACTCTCGGGCAGACAATAACTTAGCTAATACTTTGTGTGTGGAAAATAAATAATTTCGAAGATATTAGACAGTTTTCCTCCCCCCCAAAAAGTTAGTATTTATTGTAATTTATGTGTTTGTTTGTAAACCTTCACCTCATCTTAATCGTCAGGGAGCATTGTTTTTTGTTATTGGTAACTGAGATCGTTTTCTTTGTTGTAAAATGGTGTTAGTCACTTGTAGCTATTTGAATTCAAAAGTGAATGTCCTCTTTCACTGCTCGCTATATGGACAAATATCTTTGATTGCGAGAAATATTTATCTTGTGTTAAAATGTAAGTTGAGTGTTACATAGAAATTAATGAAACAGGTGTATTTTGCCATAGCGAAGGAAACGTAATATTCCGATATACGTGGGGAGAATCAAGATCCTTTAGATATTTATCTGGTGTGAAAATGCAAGTTGAGAGTTTCACATAATTGGTGCTGTGGTTGATGTTGAGTCCTTTTTTCTTCCTTTGATAGGGAATTGAAACAGGAGTTGGATGGAGGATCCATCGACTTCTTACAAAAGCTGAGCTGAAAGAAAAAAGAATAAGGTTCAGAAAAGAGCCAGATGATGGTGATGACGATGACAATGATGATGATGATGATGACGAAAGTGAGGATGATGACGATGACGATGATGACGATGACGATGACGATGATGATAATGACGAAGATGAAGATAGTGAGCATCTCGATGATGAGGATGATGGCGATGATGAAGTTAGTGACGATCTCGATGATGATGATGATGAAAATGAGTAAGCGCTCAGAAAAAACGTTTCTGTGGCAACTGATTTAGCGAGAAGTGAGAAGATTGATATTTCAGAATATAATCCATCAAATATTTTTGCTTGCGCGCACGGGATTGGTCTAAATGCATCACGTGACCGAATATACATCAGCTAAAACTGCAGAATATCTGTATATATACCCTAAGTAATATTCCTCAATTTTCAAACCTTAACGTCCACAACAAAAGAAGTCTTCGTTTTAAATTTAATTCAAGATTATTATCTGTTGCTCTAAGCTCTCACTTTTCCTCGAGCTTCACTCTCGGAAACTGTTCGCATTTCGGAACAGATCAAGTCCGAACAGCAACAAAAACAAAAACCATCGTGCATGTATTTGCGCCAAATGAAGACTATTGTTTATTTAGAATTTCGGAAATTGCTGGACGTATTTCCCGTCTCTTATGGCGCTATGTCTTTATTTCAGCATAACGTATAGGAGTAGCGTCCAGTTCGAATTGAAAATTTAGATAATTTGCCGACGGTATTTCCCTTCTAATCACAGATCACACAAATTTTCGTGATTTCACGTTGTTGTTTTACAGTGGACGGCTGAGAGATGAACAGAGTTTTAAAACGCACGCGCTGAGCTATTGTTCTGCTCATTATTTATATCTTTTGTTTTGCCACATCCTCGTTGCCGTTGTCGTGGTTTCCTGAAGTTCCCTAATTTTTAGTCCCGCGTGAAACGTCTTATATTTTAACCGGAAATGCAAGTTCTTTTCAGCAATAAAGTACCGAGTTGTAACTCAGTTTTTTCGCCGATCAGAACGCTAAACGAATTTCTTAGGATATCAGAGTGAAATAGTTTAGCATAGATTCCAAAAGTGACTTTTTGACGCGAAGAAAGAAAGGCCTCTCTATTCGTCTGTGCCAGGCTCTCCTTTTATGGAGACGGCCAAAAAAGGGGTGAGCTGAGGCATTGGAGGTCTCGGGAAGAGTGAGAGGAGCTTCCTTTCCTTCCCAAACCCCAAATTCACTCTTCCAATAATTCGATCTTTTCCAGCAACTGAGACCCTGGCAGAAGACAAGCTCAATTTTTTCAAGTTAATTAATTCAAATTACTCAACTGAATTAATTCAAACTTATTAATTCAATTAATTTTATTGATTCTTATCAGCTGACAAGCTCATTTTGTCCTTACAAAAAAAGCCGACTTTAAGAAAAGGAACAGATGAATGATTCTTGAGCTTGGATCAGTTCACAGGCAGCGCTGTGCTTTGAATTAGGCTTATTTTGTGATGCTTTACATTGATGATGCTTGAAACTGGAGATGTATGGAAAATCTTTCGTGATCAGAAAAGTTTAAGTCGATATTTGGTGTTACAAGCTTTAAAAATGCTTGTTCGTCTCACTTGTCACTGTAAATAGCAGTTTAGTTCGTCAATTTTTACCCAACGTTGTGACTTTTTTTAGCCTCACTTTTATTGATTTATTAAAAGAATTTTTATGAAATATTTTTGTCTCTTTGTAATTAAAGTACAGATAGCATAAGTGCTTGAAAAAGACCCTGTACACGACCTGTATCCTTGTTGCCTTGAAAAAGACCCTGTACACGACCTGTATCTTTGTTGCCTTGAAAAAGACCCTGTACACGACCTGTATCTTTGTTGCCTGGGCCCCAAAGCACAGTCATTTAAATAGTTTTTTCAAAGCTGAACGCACCACGCACAGAATGATATTTTTGCGCAGACTTTTTTATTAAAAGACTAGTATGTAGTCTTTAGTTCGATAAAGGCAGCCCCTGGATGAGAGGAAAAACAGGTAAATTTTCATGGTTTTGATTTGCTTTTTCTCTTTTTTTTTTGAAAATTTATCTTAGAATCTGTCGGCCTGACTTGTGTAACAATAACGGCTTTCGTGTCCCACCGACCGACCGTTTTCAATATTGTTTTTGATTTTTTGTTTGCATGTTTGTTTTTTTTTCCTATAACCACTTGTTTATTTCCACAAGCCGCCCGTCGTTCCTTAAGTTGTTCTACGCTGTGTCACTCGATCAGCAGGCATTAAAAGCTTGGCATCTAAGCATCCTCTCCTTTTTACTGTTGTGATTTAATTCTTTCTAATGTTAAACCTGGCGACGAGAAAAACTCAAAAGGCGGAAAAAGGCCGAAATCATTGCAAGCAGTCTCCTTTTTCGTCGTTTGCCCCCTTCCTTCCCCACTTCTCTTCCGCTAGAGCACACTAAAACAAGCTTGATATCCCAACCTTTATCAAATTTCTCGTACACAGAGCCTACGATGGTTTGTTAGGTTTCGGGCTTAACTCCTCGAAAAGGGATTTTCTTTGCGCTAGCTATTAAATAATCAGAAGACCCGATTGGTTTCTTTTTTCAAATTATTATATTTTAGATCACATTCAAGTTGTTTTGCAGCCTAATATATCACAGACAATACACAATTTTCACTTTATATATAAAATTAACATCATATCCATCGGCAGAAAACGCGTTACATAACTTTAAGGTGGTTAACTCGT